ATACTAAAGTGATTAATAATAATTTTACTAATATAATATAAGTCTGTTGTCACAATGCTTTTGCTATTATCCTCTATGCTTACGATAAGACCGAAATTTAATACGAACTGTTTGTAAAATAACATACAGAGCTATCGTGCCGTAAATTGAAGGCTCGCGACCGCTGTAATATGGCTCGTTAAGTATGGTACGCAAAGTAATACGAGCCTTAATAACGACCGCGGCGCAGAAAGATCCGCGACGAAGGTCTCTTCGACGCGAAACTACAATCGTCAAGATTAACGGGCCGAAACGAACCGACGACAGTCAACTATCTCATAGTTATCAAATTATAAGAAACGAGACTCTGCGAATCTGACACCCGGTGAAAACATTCGAGCGTAAATAACGAATCCCATCGATTCTGTCACAACGGTGCTTCGATCGTCGAGGTCGGAGATGTTTAATCTTCTGTCGTAAAAATACTACCGACGTGAAGACACTCGATAGACGCGATATCAAACATCTTGCTATGAATTTAATATTGCTGAGAAACATAATTTATTTACAGTACGTAACGTAACTCGGTGTGATTGCTCATTTCATTAAGAAAAATGTCTGAGGAAATGGATGAATCAGAAGATTCTGATTATATCAGAATTCAGGTTATCTCAAACAGATTTCTAGTAGATTTAACCAGAAAATTCTGATTCTAATTCTTTTTCAACCAAAATTCTAATTAATCTAATCAGACATTTTCCTCAGTGTTTGCACACTAAAAAAATGTACTAAATCTTAGTATAATGATTCTAAAGTATCTCAAAATTTAGGTAGATATCTGAAAATAATTTTATTTATAAAATATTTAATTTATTCTATCAAAATAGAAATTCAAGCATGATGAATGAGGGTACAAAACATTTTGGAACTTTAGCAATCAACTATAGGAACCTACATAATTATTTTGATGGTTCAACACAATTATATTCAAATCTGTATCCAGCTAAATTTTTAAATACTTCAGCTAATCCGTTCTTTCCGTGCGAGTGCCTGAAGTTATGCAGAACATTGTTTTGTAACCACTGTGTAAAGGCTCGCGGACTCGACGTTGCTCATTCCTGCCGTCTTGTTTGTCGTCCTAGGAAGTTTCACGGCATACGCAATGCCACGCGATATAAATTATATTTAACCGAATAGCTGGCGCAGAGCTCCCGCAGCGTTTCAAAGGAATATGGGAACGCCTCGGACGAGACGTCTAAAACGTAGTTTTTGCGGTCTTTCCGAGCCGCTCGGCTGCGCCGAACTTAGCGTACAAGAGAGCCTACAGCATCCGTCATCTTCCAAACAGCGTCTCAAACCAAACAAACGTTTGAGATTTAGTTAACCAACTATGCCGTGAATTGCCGCGCAACGCATCTCGCACCCTCCTCTGAATTGCAATTTCATAATTGCTTTGTGCACATCTAGAAATGATAATTAACGTGGGAATCTCGTGGTTTCAAAAAGCATTGTAATACCATGAGAATAATTCAACATCGTCTAAAGAACAAATATTATAATAAGTGCTCTTGTAAGTGCACTGAGAGAAAAATTTTTGATATTCGTTACTGTAATTACAATTATTAATACTGTAAGTAATACATTAATAATAACTATGTAAACAGTTCTATCAATAATATAGTATGTATAATTATTAATTTTAAATATTATAACAGTAATAATTATAATTATAATAATATATGTAATTATAGTTACAAATACCAAACAATTTTCTCTCAGTGTAATATATATACAATCGTTCGAAAAACAGTTTGTAAAATACAACTACAGGCTTAATATACAAAGTGGAGCAAGGTGGAAACATTACATTTTTCAATAATTTTAATTACAACATTTAACCCACCGCCGGCAACATGAATATTAACTCTTCCGTCAGCAGTAACAGAGCAAATTTTTTTATTACGAATGATATAAAAATCTGAAAAAATTCTGGAATACCTGTTATAAGCATCGTATTTTACTTATTTTATTGTTTTATACATTTAAATATAATTATCAAAATTCGCAATCAAAATATCGATAATGCACATTTAGATATCTCAGTTGCGGAGAATTATTATATCGTAATTATAAAAGATTGTATCAATATATTCTATAGCTTTGTTCCTAAAAGAAATGATCTTATAAATTATTTGTGTCTCTTGTGCCCGTTTCTACCAATATAGATCAACTTTAATCTCAGTTTAATTTACCTCTTTATCCTTTTATAATTCTTGAAACTAGAAAGCGATAAAAAATTAAACCAAGATCACAATTAATCTATATTGGTAGAAACGGGCATTAGAAATAAAAAAAAAAGAATTAGTTGAGAAGCGAGATTAAGATTATTAAATCAAACTATATTAGTAAATGTAATATGATGAACATTATATCTTTTTTGTCAAGCTCATTTTATTGATAAACAAATAAAAGTTATCGCAAACAATCTGCCAAATATGAAACATTGAAAAACTAGCGGGGGCTAGAAATTGACACATGTGATGACAATCAAAAGATCCACAAAGGATGAGAACCGCTTTCGAGAGGTAACGCACGATTCTGCGGCACGCAACGGCGCATCGCTTCGTGGCTGCTTCTCTGGCAGGTGTATGAAGCGAGAAATAAAAGAAAAACGGCGTTCGCGGAGGCTGACTGCTGAGGAAGCGAGAGAAAGAGAGAAAGAAAGAGAGAGAGAGAGAGAGAGAGAGAGAGAGAGAGAGAGAGAGAGAGAGAGAGAAGAGAAAGGAAGAGAGAAAAGAGGTTCGAGAAAGAAGGAAAAAGGATTCGATTTATGGACTCTCGCATTACATCCGAGCGATTAACCACTAACGATTCGTACGATCGCGGTGACGTTCCGCAACGTCCCGGTATGTGGCACGTGGGTACGAAACTGCGATAATACGAGAGATCGACGGGAGCGGAACGAAGCATCGCGACGGGGATCATCTCTTTCCCGGCAGCCTCCCTATCGGAGCTCACCCTCGCATTCATACGAGCATGCTCCACACTGCTCCACACATTCATACACACACACAAACATATCGCTCCATCGCTTACACTGTTGCACATGACAGCGAATGGCGACGGACGTCTCTTTAACGCGTTCTAGGTTATGTTATTCGCATCCCGGCGCGATGCCGTGATGCACGCGAGGGCGAGAAATTCACGGAGCCGACGGAGAGATAATCGGAAGAGAGTAACCAGGATGCGGGGAACACGAGGCAGAGAGCCGTTGCGCTCGTCGCTAGTTGCCGTCGACGGGGCAGCACTGTCCAGGGCACTGACAAGCGAACCAAAACACAGAGCAAGGTAAGGCCCTGGCGGCCGTCAACGACACGATCGCCCGACGCGCCGATCCTCGGTGCGATCGCGGGCGACGCGGGCTCGATCGACCGCCGGCTGAGACGCCGACGGGCTCTTAGATACGCACGACGCACCGGCTAAAGACACTAGACACACCGGAGGAGGAGATAGAGGGAGAGAGACGTCCGTCGCTTTATCCTCCACAGGGGCCACATACGGAGCAAGGTATCCCCGTGCGCGAGGAAAGACACGGACACTACCGACGACTCACACTCACCAGGCTTATTGGCGATCTTGTTGAAACAGTTCTGAAAGACCTCGTAGAGATGCATCGGCTCGTCGTCGCTGGCCGCCATGTTTTCACACGGGACGTGAAAACGAGTGGACGTTCTGTGATCGAGGTAAGTGGGCACGGTTTCGCGGTGTGGCCGCGCGCGGAGCCACACTCCTCCCGCTACGATCACCCACACTACTGAACTGTGCCGCTTCACGGATGCGGCTCTTATACCCGCGACAGTGGCGCCATCGCGCGTCTCTGGCCGGGCAGCGTCGAGTTTCGCGCGCCGTGTCTTCGAAATGCAATAATCGCAACTGGGCACCTAGCTATCGTCAGCTATCGTGAAGCAAATCGAAATGAATTCCGATTGAAGAGAGTGTCATCTAGTTTCTTTTAGAAAATACAATAGAAATCTAGAAAATAATTGAATAATTCTAATCGAAATCCATTTCAAATAACTTTATAATACTTTCAATTTCACATATATTGCAAAGATAGAAATATACATACATTAAAATTTTGTAAAAATTATACATTATGGTTCTTTATTTTTAGAAATAACAAGTATAAAAAGAAATTTAGAGAAATTAAATCATTAAGATATGAAAGGAGATTTGCTGGATCGCAACCATTTGGGGCAATTTTCTCTCGATGACGATGCTTGCATTAAAATTTTTATTCACAAGTCAATAGTAGAAATAGTTATACAGAATAAAGATTCTGAATGTGTTAAAAATATTAGGTACATACAACGATCTGTGTAGAAATATACATCTATGATATATAAGATTTATTAAAACGTTGTATTCGACATTAACTTTAAATAGACAATAAAAATAATATAATTCACAAATATGATTAGTTAATTAAAGTAACTTATGCCTCTGTGTAACATTGCTACGTTATTATTGTATAATTAGATAAAATATCGTTAAAAAAATATCGTTAAATATATTTAAACATAATTATATATAAATTTTAATTATATATAAATATAATTATATAAAATATATATTCTTTGATTTTAAAAAAACTTTTAACAAAACATTATGTAAAGCAACTTATATATTTAAACATTTACTCATTAATGCTAATATAGCATTAATAAATAATCTTGCAAAATTAATAATCTAAAATATATTATGTCACAAATATGTATATATCATATGGACATATACTCTGTTGGTCTATTCAGATTGATTTTACTTAAAATGTAATTAATTTTCTTATTAATTTAAATAATTTTAAATAAAAAATGTAATATCTTTTTTTCTGTAAATATTTTTTATTTTTTAGAACTTGTTAATCATATTGACTCAAATTATACGATCGTAGAGTAATTAATTTAAACAGACCAGCAGAATTAAAAGCAGAATAAATGTTTCCAAATAAATTCTATTCAATCTTAAACTCCCTCAAAATCGGAGTTTTGCGGGACGGGATGAGAAATCTCCTCGTACTCTTGTCTGCCGTAGCCTATAAAGAATTTAAACAATATAACATAGTTAATATAAATATAACGTAATCTAATTTTATTTACAATCATTAAGAAGATCTGTTGTAGCACATTATACTTTCATGCAACATAAATTAAAGCAAAAAGCAGTCTAATAGGAGTGTCATAACTGAGTACAGAGATACCTAAGTAACTAAAAATCATGTATTATTAATAATGCATAGAATAACTGCAATTTGCAATAAAGCATACGTGCACATACTTAAAATCAGATCTTGACGAAGCACTGACGCACTACAAAAGCGTAGACACGTAGCCAGTGATTTACTGACCCATGGCAGGACTTGGTGCAAATACTGTGGCTAAATTGCCATTTCTCCCTTGACCTACTCGCAACAGATATATACTCGAGATAGGACGAGCGATTAAGTTTATAACCATAAGGGCTGCGCTAAACTTTTCAGATCCATCTGCAAATTAATGAAATCAAACACAAATCTTTTGATCAATTAACAATTTTTAATATCTTATCTTCCTTCTTTCTTTGTTAATAACTGCAACATATATGTACCATGTATTCAATCTAGTCAATATACTCACCTGAGTACAGACTTGGATAATAGAGAGCTAATGTTATAACATCAAGAAATATAGAAATTATATTTATGAAAAACGCCTGTAAAATACATAAATATATATATATATATAATTAAAACTAATTCCAAATAAAAGTAACTAAGTTTTCTCTTCTTTTAATAACTTACAAATTGCAGTGGTTCGTCAGATTCGACACTATGAACAGCCCAAAATATGCAAACAAAGAATAGCAAGTTATAGAACAGTACAGATTTCGGACACCAACTCCCCTGTATACCCCTGTAATGTATTTTACATTTGGTACATATTATAAAGATACAAGTTTTTATAGATACATAAAATCTTTCCACTTCATTAAAGAATCCAAGCTTGTCCTTACCATGATATAAATATCAAGTGAAGGGCAAATATAATCTGAAAAATATAATGATAAACTGTGATATGATACTGTGATGTTTTTATTAATCATTTTGCAACATTTATATATTTATAAATTTATAAATTTATAAATTTAATCAAAGAATAAAGATAAACTATGAATTCAAATACAGAAGCAAATGTCAATTTGTGTACATATTTACAAAAAAATACAATATTACGTCGTAAATATCGATGACAACATTGAAAACGTACACACTGAAACAGAAGAGAACGTAGTTGACACTTGATACATACCTTTAAAGGAAAATGGGATAAATTGGTTAGATTAGGCATTTTCACCGCGTAACAGTAGTCTGTATACCAATAATGACGAAGAAAATAACTGATTAATTGAAATGAGATTTAAAATATATTTCTCTGACTCAGAAAAATATCTAATCTACGTTCTATAATACGCCTACAATTTTCGATTGAACAACACATGAAACACAATGAAACATATATACAGATACTATAATTACCGCATATAAGTATAGTGCGTATATCAGCTGTGCATCAGTAGCGCCAAACAGCGTCTTTTGTAGCTGCTGCCATCTAACAAAGATGCCAAATTAAAATTGGTTAATACATATCTATTTTTACCAATGTAGATTAATTTAATTTACCTTTTATCTATTTCTAACAATTAGAAAAGGATAAAGAGTAAATTAAATTGAATATAAAATTACTGTGTGTGTATATAACAGTCATTAATCAGAGTTGGAGGCAGCGATGATTTGATTATAGATCTGTTCTTTTCAGCTGAACTTCTCTTGCACCATTTATCTTCTCTCTCTTTCCTCTTTTTCTCTCCATATACTGAAGAGAAAAAGAGAAAATATAAATAGTGCAAGACAGTGTAAGAAATTTAATTGACTTATTGTGCATCAAATAATGTCAACAGTCAAATAAATAAAATACCACTATGTTATGTGCACGTATACAACGTAATCGTATACGCACTGACATGCATATCACAGCCATGTGTGTGCAAGCGGTCGAGTCATCGTGATAGACGTGATAAGAAGACCAAGAAGACGTTACTGATTTTCCATGTGCGTCAGAGGCTCTCAAGTTTGATATCTTTGAGACTGACACATTACAATAATAACTTACAACACTAACGTGCCAATTGTTGTCGCGACTGTCATTTTCCTCTTGGCGGGGTAGAAATATTTATGAACATGTTACAGAGAAGTCGTTATTTATTGAGGTATTTTCGACCCTTCGGCGTAAGATTTTATCATGAGGAAGCATCCGTCGTCGGCACTACTCCAGATACCAGTTCACCGGTATATCAGGTTAGGAAGTACAGTTGTAAATTTTATTATTTTTGTAACTGTAGAGTTGTTAGACTTCTGTTTAAAAAATGCAATAATATTATAATTTATGAAAATTATAAAAATTAATGTTTGATGTTATGAATAACATTGTTTCCAGCTTTTTTTTTAATTATATAAATCTAATTATGTAAATTTTGTAATACAAATGAATTATGTGTTTTTAAATATATTATGTGTGTAAAATTATTTTTAATGTTACAGGAAAATTACATGCAAATGAAAAATCTTATTGATGAATTGAAGAACACTGTGGAGAAAATAGTTGAAGGTGGTGGACCGAAAGCCAGAGACAGACATCTAAGCAAAGGAAAACTTTTACCTCGAGAACGGATAAATACACTTTTAGATAAAAATTCACCTTTCTTAGAATTATCACAATTAGCAGGTTACAAGCTATATGGTGGAGAGGAGGTACCAGCAGGTGGAATTATTACTGGCATTGGAAGAATAGAAGGGTATGTCATGGATAACAAAATAAATTTTGACTTTTTTGAAAGCTCAGTACTTTAAATATTTTTTAGCACTGAATGTATAATAATTGCAAATGATCCTACTGTAAAGGCTGGTACATATTACCCTATAACGGTCAAGAAGCAGTTACGAGCTCAAGAAATTGCAGAAGAAAATAGATTGCCTTGCATTTATTTGGTTGATAGTGGAGGAGCCAATCTGCCTAGACAGGATGATGTATTTCCTGATAAAATGCATTTTGGTAGAACCTTCTATAATCAAGCCAACATGAGTGCTAAAGGAATAGCTCAAATTGCAGTGGTTTTAGGAAGTTGTACAGCAGGTTTGTCATTATTTTGTTAAATTTGTTAGAGTGGAATCATCTTAAAAAGTGTAAAAAATTGAGCCAGTCTTGAAAAAGAATGGCTTAATTTTCAATCTTTAAGAATGAAATTTTATTTTCCAAAGATTGACTCCAAAAATTTTTAGAGAATGTTGATATGTTTTAGGAGGTGCATACGTTCCTGCTATGGCTGATGAAAATATTATTGTTGGCAATCAAGGTACAATATTTTTAGCTGGCCCACCTTTGGTAAAAGCTTCAACTGGTGAAGAAGTTTCAGCGGAAGATTTAGGTGGAGCTGCGCTTCATTGTCGGTAATTATTTTAAACATCATAAACTACATATATATGGACTGTTCACATAAATGCTCAGTTATAAAATTTTAGACAATCTGGCGTAACCGATCATTACGCGATAGATGACACGCATGCTTTATATCTTGCGCGTCAAATTGTTAGAGATTTAAATTTGCAACCGCCTATGGATGTAAAAATCAATAAAAACATTGAACTACCCGTGCATGCCATTGACGACATCTATGGCATCGTCGGAACGAATCTAAAACGTCCTTATGATGTAAAAGAAGTCATCGCGAGGATTGTTGATGGTTCGAAATTTCATGAATTTAAAGCACAATACGGCGAAACATTAGTCACTGGATTTGCCAAGATTTACGGCTATCCTGTCGGCATAGTCGCAAACAATGGTGTATTATTTTCAGAAAGTGCTCTGAAGGGAGCTCATTTTGTACAGCTTTGTGCTCAAAGAAAAATCCCTCTCATTTTCCTGCAAAATATTACCGGTAAATATAATTACGTGAATGCTATTTATGTACTAACTTTTTTAAAATTCGCGCGTTAAGAAAATAAAACATAAATATACAAATTTATAAATACGTTCAGGATTCATGGTGGGTAGAGACGCAGAATTGGGAGGTATCGCCAAAAACGGCGCTAAAATGGTAACAGCAGTAGCATGCGCGCAGGTACCGAAGATTACTGTAATAATCGGAGGATCTTATGGAGCTGGGAACTACGGTAATTTTTCTTGCTTTAGCTATTTTAATTTTTTTTTTCTAAAGAGAAAGAAAGAGAATTTATGATAATATAAGTTTGAATAGGAATGTGTGGTCGAGCTTATTCTCCACGTTTTCTTTATTGCTGGCCAAACGCTAAAATATCTGTAATGGGAGGAGAACAAGCAGCGAGCGTATTAGCACAAATCACGAAAGATCAACGTGCGAGAGAAGGCAAACAGGTGTGACTTGTTAATTGCTGTTTTTTTAACATGTAGACATATATGAATAAATATCAATTTTGCAGTGGACTCAAGAAGAGGAAGAGAATCTCAAGAATCCGATTATAGAACAGTTCGAAAAGGAAGGCAGTCCTTATTATTCTAGTGCTAGGTAAATTATTGTTATGTACAGAAAATATTTATTTTATTTATAATATTCTGATATTTTTTAGACTATGGGATGATGGTGTGATTGATCCTGTGGACACACGAGTCGTGCTTGGTTTGAGTTTGTCAGCGAGTCTGAACGCGCCTATACATGACACTAAATTTGGAATTTTTCGAATGTAATATAAGTACAGAGAAACGTATGAAAGTATACCTTGAAAGTACTCCATATTACTATCAAATTTTATATATCTCTTTATATTTGTATATATAAGCCAATAGTCATATTTTATTAAAAAAATATTTTTTTATCGTTGAAAATAAATTCGAAATGTTTCAAATGTAGTATAAGTACAACAATGTATGAAAGTATAGCTTGAAAGTACTACACATTATTGTTAAATTTTTTATCAATTTATATCTCATATACATATATTGTATAGATATACATATAAGCCAAAATTATATTTTGTAAAAGAAATATTTTTCTGTTAAACCATTGTTATACATTCCAAATATATGTTTTTTATTATATTTTATAATGCTGTTGATTTATAATGCTTGTTTATAATCTTATAATTCCTTCAATGCATTCCTTCTTATTACCTGAAATTTGTTATTATTTTTAGTAACACAAAATATACATTATATTTTGATTTAATTAAAATTGACTGAAATTCTTCAAAGAGGAAGAAAGAATTAAAATGTTTATTGTACTGAGTGTATTAAGATAATTTAATTATGACTAAAAGATAATCATTGTATCATATCTGCTATCGATTAATTTATTTATTTAACGTAATAATTACACTGAGATTACAAATACGCAATTAATAATTACTTAGTAATTAATTAAGTCACATTTTAATATTACACCTCGTCGCACGACTAGGTCTTCGTTTTTCTCCGCTCGCAAAGGCCAATTTTCTTTTGGCAGTTACTCATTCAAGAGATTACAGCAATTACTTATGATATACGTATAATTAAAAAATAATAGTATAATAAAACTAAAAATTGATACGTCGTGATTGAAAATTCGGCGGTCGCAGAGCGGAGAAATCATACGTTACTGTGTTTATTATGTTAGCGCTATTAATGCACTTTTTTAAGATTTCTTTGAATTTTAAATTCGATATAATTTTATCTTATCGATTTCATTGCCTAGTTGACATTTGATTCTCGTTAAATATACTTTAGTATCACGCATAAAGATATAGATATATTTTAATACGGACGGCAATTTTTTACATTGAAGACACAAGTTTCTTCTTGAGAAAATTATTGCGCTTGAAACATTAACATTTCAAATCAAAATTTCATTAAATGCTCCTCTAGACACATATAGACATATTTTGATTATATACAGCCTATGATCACTATATAATTATAGTGATCTGCGGTTATGATCGAAATCTCTCGCTTATTAATGAGCAAGTTAACTATTATTTCCAAAAGCGGCACTTCTTATTTTTTTCTTCACGTTTTTAACATATCGCAGACTGCGTTTTATTTACAGTTAGCAATCATTTGTCAGGAAACATAAATCTCATTCTCTACAGGAGTTTGTAAAAGCAAAGAAGAACCAAAAGAAGAGATAAGCTTAGTGTACTACACGAGGAACCATTGAGTACCACTTCGGTGACTTTATATTTAAACTGTTCCTTTATTTCCTCCGCGAGGAACGCTCTTTCATGCGTTCTGATTGTCGTCGGGTCGGACTGCTCCCTGACTTCCTCAGCGATCACTGCCCTCTCTTTCGTGTGTGTTCTGTTTTTTCCCTTTCTGATGAATCCCGAAAATACTGACAACATAGTACAAAATGTATATACACATCGCAACAGGAGCCATAAACATGATACATACATGGTAATTATTCAAATGTTTATTTACTTTACGAGATAAAAATATACCTGGATCAATCATAATGTCATCCACAGAATCGACCTTGATGAACGTCGACATGGTTACTTCGAATAATTTATTCTTGTCGGTACTGGACATCTCAATGGCTCGCCTTTTTCTGCCGAAACCAACTTGACCGTTGCTGCATTCAATCTGAAACAAACATATATTTTAATAAACTCGTTGTTTAATAATTGTGTATTACGAAAAAATGAAACCCTACCCCTGGACACTTATCCAAGCAGACGTTAACAGTACCACGGAACTGAACGTAAGTACTTTCTGGGAACTTGAAGGCTCGGAATTTCGCCGTCAGGAAGTCACCGTCCACAGTGTTGAAATTTTCGAACAAGTAAGGATCAACGGAGCACCTGCGCGTAAATTATACGTATATATTTTATTATATTTAAAACAATATTTTTTTTTAATCATAAATAGAAATTAGACTGACAATAATAATTAAATACGAGAAAGAATCTTATTTTCGGTCAAAATGAATATTGGTGCTTAATAATATTTGTATACAAATTTTTGTAAATATATTTTTCAGTTTTATAAACTACGCGCTGATTCAGACTTGGAACGCAATCTTAAACAGTAGTTTATAAATATTAATATCTCAAATTATAATAAATTGATTAATAATGATGGTAATAATTATTTTTAAAAAAACTGTAAAAAAACATTAATTTTCTTTATTAAATTGATGATAAATTTAATTTGGGATATTAATTAATATTTTAGTTTCAGTTCGTGTTTCCAAAAATTTGCATACGAATATTATTACAATCTGACTGAAAATAGGATTCTTTGTTTTATATGATATGTTTTTAGTTGCGACAGCATATTGATCAATTACCCATTAATAATGATCGTTTCCTCCTGTGTTTTGGTATCGGTGACCAACATGTAAGTTACCAGCAGACCGTAGATCGGCGCTGAGTCGTTGTCCAAAAATATTTCCATCTGCAACGGCGTACCAGGACTGACATTGAGCTCTCCGGTTACCAAAACTCCACCCTGCCTTACTCCGACACCGAGGATAGGAACTGGTGCCGATCCCGAAATTTCCTCACGTATATCTATCACTCTAAAACACATAAATAAATTCATTTAAAATCCAAAGATTTCTTAGGAATTATAAACTAAATAAAAATAAGTGCTAATTAAAAACAATATTTATAATAAGCTCTTTTAAGTGTGATTTCAAATAATATATTTCTAGAAACATTTTGTGAGCTTCTCTTTTTTATAATAATTTAAATTTCTTTTTTATACTAATTTAAATTACTATTACATGTTTAAACGTGTAAATTCATTTTTGTATGCAGTATAGTGTGTTAATTTTACACAGAAAATTAATCACACACATATATATATTAAAGTTACACACTTAAACTTGCGATGTATTATAGATTGTCACATGTCGAATCCACAACGAACTGCATGACGAACGGACAGAATCGAAAAAAATCTGTTAGATCACAATCGCCTACTTTCCAAAATGGAGTCATGAGGGCGAGCACCTGGCCGGCACGGTGATCAATGTTGCGTATCCAAATATGCAATTCCAAACCAGCGGCAGTTTGTACACGCCAAAGCACATCACGATGACCTACGATGCCATCGCAGTTATCTCCATGGGAAGATTCGACCCACTTTATGGTTTTATGCAAAATCGCGTAAGATTATGTGCGACCCGGGTACGATCTACTTTGACGAGAGAAAAAAAAAAGGCAACTCATTCGTGCATGCTCGTGCGTATTTTCCGCATACGTGCTCCAGTTCGTGCAGGCTCATCTGTCGCTTCCGTAACGTTATGGCATTATGGTAGGCGGGCGGCGTACATACATCGTCCAAATCACGTGCGGTGACAGACGAAGTAATGAAGACAAATGTTTACCAGAATGGGCAGACCGTGAAATTACCATGCAGCGAAGAATCCGAACACGGCAAAGAGGAACGTGATAGATCTGCCCGATCCCTTTAAAATAAAAGGTGTGCCCACACACGGACGAGCGCGCAGTTCGATAACAAGGTATCAGGACAGGTACATCGGGAACCATTAGTCATTACTATGACTGTGACTCGTGTTATTTTACACAATTTCCTTCTTGTAAATCGTCTTCTTTTTTCATCTTCAACACAGAGCAAGCTTTGTTAAACTGCTTTTCGACGCGTGACGACCTTTTGCCTACTACACTTTACAACGTAAAAACTGCTTAATTACATGAGTTATTTTCTGAAAGAGACACGCGATGTATCAGACATGTTCAGAGAGAAATTCATTCGAGTATTCGTTCGAGTCGTCGTGTCATTATCGAGGAATTCTTAGAATTCCTTGCACTTAACTGTCCGCTTAAATTTTCTTCAGAGGAGAGCAGAACTAATAATTATACTTATCGAATAATATAATTATAAATTAATTAGATTTATTTCGAAGCACAAAGAGATAAGCACAATGCTAAAGTGCATGTTTCGTCATGCAGTTCTGTCAACAGGAATAGTAATTATCCTTTATAAATTAATAACTAGAATTATCTCAGAACACAAAAAGAAAAAGTCGTGCAGTTCTATCGACAGAAATACTGGAGATTTAGATCGCATAACTCAGACTCGAGATTGTCCCATAACATAATGTTACGCTACTTATATAATAACTTAGCAATAGAAATTTCGAATACCTAATTTCCGATCCGATTCGCCGAAGTAATAAATTAATATATTGACGGATATTGATTAATATATTGATCCAGAAATTTGTGTTAAGAAGGCGAGCCGTAAGCAAAATTTTTTAAACATTAAATATTAAAACCTACAATATTAAATTATTTAAATTATTACATTGAAAGTATCATTTAAATGTATAATTTATGAAACGTTTTATTCATAACAAATTGTATTATTATAAAAAAAGAATAATATATAATAGAATCTTTGTTTTTTTTTTTAATTAAGAATTTCTTAAATTAGAAAGTATTTTTAAAATATTAAAATTGTGATTAAGCATAACGGAAACATTAAAAATATTATATAACATTTTGGTATAAATATTTTTGGATAAAAGGAGACTCCAGGGGAGTCATGGCCCAGTGAATTAGAATCTCGGCTGCAGTCGCGATAAAAATGCCTCGCTATGTTTTCTCGAGAGCACGTCCCCGGAGGGTACTCGAAGAATGTCGACCGGCGAAGTAACTTTTGTTCGGGAGAAGGCAAGAGATTTACCGCGACAGGCTTCTCCTCTCTCTCCGACACTTTGGCCAATGTGCTAAAATCGCTTAAGCGCTCATGTCGTGGCTTTTCCACCATCTGTATAAAGGAACCGTTGGGCAATGGACACGGATGCTATGTCGCATAAAATCGACTC